ATGTGTTGTGTGGGGTGATGACAGTTGCTTTTAAATGACTGTGAAGCGAATCCAAATGTTCTGTCATTGGTGTATTGCAATTGCCCAAGCGGATGTTGCCTGCAAAGGCGCCCTGCTGCGTGGCTGCGGCACGTGTGGAGCACGTGTGTGAGTGAGCGAATATCGGTCAAGTGGTCTTCAGGTCACCAAGTGGAACAGCCGCCTGCAAAGACAAATGACGTTGGGGGCCGCGGACATTGCAGAACGAAGGGGAGAACAGACATTGTAGCCGTCCGCCACAGTGCCCCATCCGAGGCTCGAGCCCGCGACCTTTTGGTCAGAAATATAACACTCTAACCGCTGAGAAACAGGTTCGTTGGCTTGCAGGTTTTAGATCGGATAATATTGACATTCGTTGATTAACGTTCACCGATCACTAATGGAACCCACTCGTCCCGCTCTGCCTTAGGGCTCATTCTCGAGCCCCGTCAGCAGCTGGATAACGGCTAGAAGTTTAGACAGGTAGAGCGTTACAATTCTGCTCTAAAGGTTGCAAGTTCGAGCCTTGGATGGAGTACCACTTTGGATTGGGTATGACTGGCTGATGACGACTAACGAACCAGAAATGGCCACTAAAATCTCCTTGTGTTTGCTGGCAATGCTATCTGCTGTGCGGCTGTTGGTGGGGCTCGAGAATGAGCCCTAGGGCAAATTCCAGACGAGGGAGTTCCGCCAACGATAGGTGAAAGTTAATCGAGGACGCTTCTGATCCCTTCTTCTTGAAGTGGGTGTGGCAGAATCTTATTCACGCAGTTTTCAGTGGAAATGACGTGGCCCATCGTATTCTGCTTCTGTTCCATGCTGTTGTGTAGGACAACAGTCTAAGCAAGCCTATGCTTTGTGTGACTTTCGAGTAGCAGGCCGAGTGATAACAGATTCCTCTCGCGAAAGCTGCATTTGCTCTACAATTGAGGAGTGCTTTTTAACAAATAATTGGTCGTTATCACGTAATTATCTCTCTAAGAATAGACCCCCAAACAGAGAATTTACCGGTGCTGAAACGTTACAGTTACAGCTTTAGAGTTCTGCTCAAAAGGTCGCAGGTTCGAGCCCCGGGTGGAGCATTACTTGGGCTTGGGTATGACTGGCTGATGAAATGAGTACTTACCGTTCTGCGGCTGTTGGTAGGGCTCGAGAATGGGCTCCAAGGCAGAACGGGACGATTGCAGCTATAGGTGAACGTTAATCACCTACTCTTCTGATCCCTCCTTCTTGTAGCGGGTTTGGCAGAACCTTGCTCGGCAAGAGTTTCCTTGGTAGCGCACATATGTTCTTATTTACATTTAAATGCCTACACAATTAACTTCTGTTAGGGTTAGGGTAAGGATTAGGTTTATGGTAAGGGTTAGGGTTATGGTTAGGGTTAGGGTAAGGGTTATGGTTAGCGTAAGGGTTAGGCTTATGGTTAGAGTAAGGGCTGAGGTTAGGGTTCGTGTAAGGGTTAGGGTAAGTGTTAGTGCAAGGGCTAGGGTTAGGGTTAGGTTGGGATAGTGATATCGCAAGTAAAATGCCCCAAGTTTCTGTCTTACGGGAAGCGTTGGAGTAGGCATTTAAATATAAATAAGAACATATTTGCGCTACCAAGGAAACTCCTGCCCCTTACTCCCGCTGAACGGGCTGCTATGAATACACACAGTATTCAGTGGAAATGACGTGATCGATCGTGTTCTGCTTCTCTGCCATGCTAGTGTGTAGGACAACAGTATACGCAGGCCTACGTTTCGTGTGGTTAATCGAGTACCAGGCCGAGTCATAACAGATTCCCCTCGCAAAAGCTGTATTTTCTCTACAATCGAGACGTGCTTTTTAACAGTAATTAGTCGTTACAGTAGTCGCTGGTTATTAAGCCCACAATTAATAGGCCCAGCCGCGTATTAAGCCCAACTCAGCTTGGGACGGAATTTTA